TACCAGAGGGAATGATCCGATGTCTACCATCTTTGTTACTGATCTTGTGTCGACAGAAATATTGAGATGTGCCAAGTCTGAATGGAATGGATTTTAATTTTGCGTTTTATGAACTTTTTTGGTGCCTACCCCACAAAGGGTATTTGAACCTTTGTGGGGTAGGCACCAGAAGGAGTGGACCATTTTATCCTATCTTCACATCAGAGTTGGCGCTAGTAGAAATAATGGGATGTGTGAAATATGATGATAACCGGAAGCTTATTTCGGATTTTATGATCGTTTTGGTTATTCAAAACTTTGGCCCTTTATGGGGGAGGTACCAGAACGGATGGTTCGATCTCTACCATATTTATTAAAGTTCATGTGTCGATAGAAATATTGAGATATACGAAGTTTGACTGGAATCGGATATTTATCGGATATATTTGAATATTCAAAAATGTGACCCTTTGTGAGGGGAGGTACCAGAAGGAGTGGACCGATATATTCTATCTTAACACCAGACCTTGGGTTAATAAAAATATTGTGATGTGTGTTATGTGAAGACAATCGGACTCTTACATCATATTTTAAGAAAGTTATAATTTTTCAAAATTTTGACCCTTTGTGAGGGAGGCACTGGATGCAGTGGCCCGATATTGTCCATTTTCACACCTAACCTAGAACTAACGAAGCTATTAGGATTTGCAAAGTTGGAACAAAATCGGTTTATTGCTTCTCACTGATGAAAATATTTAGATTCTATGCAAAAAATATATTTTTTGAAAATTTCGAAATTTTGTGTGCGAGGTACCAGAAGGAGTGGACCGATATTGCCCATCTCCGAACTCGATCTAAGTTTGACAATAATATTACGATGTACCAACTTTGAATGGAATCGGATACTCCCTTCGAGAGTTATCGTGCGCATGAGCCAGACAGACGGACGGACGGATATCGCTAGATCGACTCCAAATGCCCTGAAACGGATTTGGTCTAAAGAGACCTAGGGTCTAAGACCGTTATTTCGACTAGGCACGTTTTGGCCGTATCAAATGATATATGTATATCCTCTCTAGCCAAATGGTTGACGATATAACAAGTAAAAAAAACATTAAGTTCGGCCGGGCCAAACTTTTAATACCCTCCACCTTAGGGTAAAATAAACATTAGAAGAAATGTGGCAAAAACCATTAAAATGCCGATTATGGGGAGGTACCGTAATATGGGGGCTACACCAAAACGTGGACCTATAATTACAATGTTTCGCCACACGAACTAGGACCCATTATGGCCCACAAATACCAATTTTTAGACAAATCAGTGAAAAAATGTGGCAAAAACCATCAAAATACCGAATATCGGGAGGTACCTTTATATGGGGGCTATATCAAATAATGGACCCATCCATGCAATGTTTTGCTACCGAAGCTGGAACCAATTATGACCAACAAATACCAAATTTCAGACAAATCCGTGAAAAAAATGTGGCAAAAATCATCAAATTACCGAATATCGGGAGGTCCCGTTATATAGGGGCTATACCAAAACGTGGACCTATAATTACAATGTTTCGCCACACGAACTAGGACCCATTATGACCCACAAATACCAATTTTTAGGCAAATCAGTGAAAAAATGTGGCAAAAACCATCAAAATACCGAATATCTTGAGGTACCGTTATATGAGGGCTATACCAAATCATGGACCCATACATGCAATGTTTCGCCACCGGAGCTGGAACCCATTATGACCAACAAATACCGATTTTCAGACAAATCCGTGAAAAAATGTTGCAAAAATCATCAAATTACCGAATATCTGGAGGTACCGTTATATGGGGGCTATACCAAATTTTGGACCCATACATGCAATGTTTTGCCACACGCTCAGGGACCTGCTATGACCTACAAATACCAATTTTAAGACAAATCCGTGAAAAAACGTGGCATAAATCATCAAAATACCGAATATCGGGAGGTACCGTTATATGGGGACTATACCAGAACGTGGACCGATATATCTCATTTTCAATACCAACCATCCTAGACACAATGCAAATAGCTCTGCTAAATTTTGGAGCTCTACGTCAAATAATGTGGGCTGTATCGTGATTTCAACAGACAGACAGACAGACAGACGGACAGACAGACAGACGGACAGACAGACAGACAGACGGACATCGTTAAATCGACTTAGAATTTTATGCTGATTATGAATATATATACTTTATGGGGTCTAAGACGAATATTTAAGGATGTTACAAACGGAATGACAAAGTTAATATACCCTCCTTTCCAAGGTGGAGGGTATAAAAAGGGTTCGCACCTCTGCATTTCGGCAATTACTCTTGTCAAATTTAACTGCCACTGATTTGTGTCTCTGTTTTTTATATATACAGTGGTTTCTATTTACCTGCATCAACATTAGCTGCGCATTGGCCTTTGCAGACCAAAAAACTTTTTTTATGCCATTTTTATACCCTCCACCTTGGAAAGGAGGGTATATTAACTTTGTCATTCCGTTTGTAACATCCTTAAATATTCGTCTTAGACCCCATAAAGTATATATATTCATAATCAGCATAAAATTCTAAGTCGATTTAACGATGTCCGTCTGTCTGTCCGTCTGTCTGTCTGTCTGTCCGTCTGTCTGTTGAAATCACGATACAGCCCACATTATTTGACGTAGAGCTCCAAAATTTAGCAGAGCTATTTGCATTGTGTCTAGGATGGTTGGTATTGAAAATGAGATATATCGGTCCACGTTCTGGTATAGTCCCCATATAACGGTACCTCCCGATATTCGGTATTTTGATGATTTATGCCACGTTTTTTCACGGATTTGTCTTAAAATTGGTATTTGTAGGTCATAGCAGGTCCCTGAGCGTGTGGCAAAACATTGCATGTATGGGTCCAAAATTTGGTATAGCCCCCATATAACGGTACCTCCAGATATCCGGTAATTTGATGATTTTTGCAACATTTTTTCACGGATTTGTCTAAAAATCGGTATTTGTTGGTCATAATGGGTTCCAGTTCCGGTGGCGAAACATTGCATGTATGGGTCCATGATTTGGTATAGCCCTCATATAACGGTACCTCCCGATATTCGGTATTTTGGTGGTTTTTGCCACATTTTTTCACTGATTTGCCTAAAAATTGGTATTTGTGGGTCATAATGGGTCCTAGTTCGTGTGGCGAAACATTGTAATTATAGGTCCACGTTTTGGTATAGCCCCCATATAACGGGACCTCCCCATAATCGGCATTTTAATGGTTTTTGCCACATTTCTTCTAATGTTTATTTTACCCTAAGGTGGAGGGTATTAAAAGTGTGGCCCGGCCGAACTTAATGTTTTTTTACTTGTTTTCTGAATTCCTTTATTTGAATTGTATTTAAGTGCCCAATCGATAGCTGCACATTGGACATTCCTGCCTCGAAAATTTGGTAATTTTTTTTTTTAATTTGGTTACAAAAGTTGTATTTATCTGCACAAGAAAATTTTTTGCAAACTCCAAAAGGACACTAAAAAATACCACTTCGTTTTTGTTTTTGTATTCGCAAAAACAATAACAACACAAGAAAAGAGCATGCATTAAAAACATATTCTCGCTTCCTCTCCCACACTAAAAGATGGTTATGCTGCTGCTGCTTTGTTGTGCACGAATAGAAAATTAAAGATAACTGCACTTTTTGTACACGTAAGTAAAATTAAAGATACCTGCTTCATTGTGCAGATAAATGCAATGAAGCTACCTGCATTTTGGGCATTGCTGCACAAGATGTCGTGCAATTTTTGATTGTGCAGGTAAGCAAAAAATACTGTACCTACATTCATAAATATACTACATTTGACAATGATTGCATAAGGCTCCCTTCTAGCACTGCTCAAACCCGTGAACTAGCACATGAGGCCAAAAACAAGATTATTTAAGAGAAAATAAAAATTATAATTTTTTTTAAATTATTAATAAAACGAATTATTACAAAAATTGAATAAATTATAATTTCACTCTACTTTTTTGATGATTTACAAAGCTAAGAGAAATTTGACTTGTGAGCGAGGTCTGGTTTTTGAGCAGCGCAGCTCCCTTCCTAAATCTGCCATGAATGATACTTTCTTAAAAAAAAATATTTCTGGGAGTTTTTGGCCTTCCCTAAAACCCTCCATATCGTAGATCTTAAAAATAATCGCTAAATTCCATTCACAAAAGGTCAACAACACTGTTATACATAAATAATACATTAGGTGTGAGATTTCTCGTTGTTGTGATCTTTTCATTTGTTGATGATTTGTTGTTTTTTTTATTTTCTTCAATAAACACAACATTAGCCAAGGGACATAGCGTAGCCCTCACCCACCACTCCCCCAAATACATAATCTTAACTGAAAACACTACTGTTTGTGTTTTTTTTCTCACCTATACAGTACATCTCACTCTCCCTCTAGTTTGCTCTCCTCCAAGTTGCTCTTCTTTGTGTTTTTTTTTCTTTCCTCGTCTTGGCAATTAATTTTCATCAGTAAACACAACATTAGCCATGGGACGTAGCATAGCGGCACCCCCACCACCCCCAAATACGAGCACTCAACTTAAATGACTTCTGCAGCGGTGCTCAAAACCGTGTTCTAGAACATGAACAGAAAAAAGAGATAATTTAAGAGAAAATTAAAATTCTGTTTTTCTTTATATTTTACGATTCAATTCAACTCACTCTCCCTCTAGTTTGCTCTCTTCCAAATAGATCTTCATTTTTCTTTTCTTTTCTCATCTTGGCAATTTATTCTTCTTCTTCAGTAAACACAACATTAGCCAAGGGACATAGCATAGCGACACCCACCACCCCCAACCACGTAATCACAACTGTTTGTGTTTTTCTCTCTCCTAGACAGTTCATCTTACACTCCTCTCTTCCAAGTTGCTCTTCTTTGTATTTTTTTTCTTTCCTCGTCTTGGCAATTGTTTTGTTAGGCCTTTGTGGGACTTTGTTGCCATTCATTCGCCAGCTGCAACAGAAATCAATCAGTGGCCAGCCCAGCCAGACAGTACGTAATCCGCGTCAGTTGTTTGGTGCAAGTGCACGTCAAAGGTTGTTTTATTTTGCCGGTTCGACATTAGTTCGTTGTTGTCCGTGGTGTCGTTAGTTTGTGTCGTGTTTCGGTTGCTCCGTTGGCAAGGCTTCTAGTGTCGTTTGTATGCCTGTGTTTTTGTAATAATTGTCAAAAAAATTATTGAAAAAAAAACTAAAAAAAAAAACAGTTCTTTTGTGGTTTATTGTCGGTGATAAATAAAGAACACAGCGGTCGTGTCGTCGTCATCGTCTACCAAGTAAAACAAAGTGTCCTTGACTTTTTTTATTTTTAATTTTGTTGGTGGATAAACTTTGGTGGTGTCACTCCCTGCCACCCTCAACATGTCTTTTGCAACAAAACCCTTTGTGCTGGTTGTAAACGTTATTAAATCGATAGTGGGATATGCCAGATGTCAGCTGGACAATGTTTTCCACGAGTGAGTATGACACATTCTTATCGGAGTCGCGTAATTGATTTTTCCCCCAAATGTTTGGGAAAAAATCGAAGTGAAAACACATGACGACTGGGTCAAGTGCAAGTTGTGTGTTTATTGCTGTTGTTGTTGTTGTTTTCTTTATTATGTTCTTTCTTGTTTGTATGTAATATCACATACACACGTCAAAAATACCATACCCCCATTTATTTGCGGCGTGTGAAAGTTAAAGGTGCATTGTTTACATTTTGAATAGGGTTGCCAGAGTTCAATGACAAATGTTAATTTGTTTTAATTAGGAGATTGAACTCTGGCGTTGCGTAATTTTCGGTGTGAATTGGGGTGATAATTATTTAATTTTGTCAAATACATTTTTTCATTCTTTTCGTGTAACTGGTGAACATTTTTTTTTGATTACGCATGGACAAATATTGAATGTAAATTTCGGAGTAAGTAAAATTCGTTGAATGTAGCAATAGTGGGAAAATCGAAGGTATCTTATGTATTTTTAATTTCGAACACCCTCGGCCTAATACCTGCAGATGGGACGTATTGACAGGATAAAAAAGACATAAAATGGCAATGACTACACCTTTTTATACCCTCCACCATAGTATGGTGGGTATATAAGGTTTGCCATTCCGTTTGTAACACCTCGAAATATACTTTAGACCCCACAAAGTATATATATTCTTGATCAGCATAAAATTCTATGTCGATTTAGCAATGCCCGTCTGTCTGTCCGTCTGTGGAAATCACTCTATCTTCCGAACGAAATGAAGTAGGTTGATATATTTTTTTTTTCAAACGTGTATTATGTCTGCAGAACTTTTGGTATTGAAAATGGGCCATGTAGGTCCACGTCTTCGTATAGCCCCCATATAACGGTACCTCCCGATATTCGGTATTTTGATGATTTTAGCGACATTATTTACCGGAATTGTTTCAAATTTCGCATTTGAAGTTCGTAATGGATACTACAGCCTATGACGGAAAATTGTCTGTGCGGGCCCACTTCTTCGTATAGCCCCCATATAACGGAAACCCCGATATTCGGTATTTTGATGATTTTACCGACATTATTTACTGTAACTATTTCAAATTTAGTATTTGAGGTTCGTAATGAATACTACAGCCTATGACGGAAAATTGTCTGTGCGGGTCCACGTCTTCGTATAGCCCCCATATAACTGAACCCCCCGATATTCGGTATTTTGATGATTTTTGCGACACTATTTACCGGAACTATTTAAAATTTGGTATTTGAAGTTCGTAATGGATGCTACAGCCTATGACAGAAAATTGTCTGTGCGGGCCCACGTTTTCGTATAGCCCCCATATAACGGAACCCCCGATATCCGGTATTTTGATGATTTTAGCGACATTATTTACCGGAATTGTTTCAAATTTTGCATTTGGAGTTCGTAATGGATACTGCAGCCTATGACGGAAAATTGTCTGTGCGGGTCCATGTCTTCGTATAGCCCCCATATAAGGGTACCTCCCGATATTCGGTATTTTGATAGATATTACAGCCAATGCCAGAATATTGTCTGTGCAGTTTTTTTTTAGTTTTAGTATAACCCCATGATACCTTTCTATATTCGGTATTTTGCCAAATTTTTACCAAATGGTGGAGGGTGTTCAAATTTGTCTCGGCCGAACTTACAGCTTTTTTACTTGTTCAGATTGTAATTTAAGAATTCTATTTGTTGTAATTTAAATTTTTATTTGAATTAATTCAGTTGAAATTCGAGAATTTCAATTGTTGATAGGATATTAATTTTAATCATTCAAGAAGGCGGGCCCGACTTGATAATACCCTACACCACTATGCGTATTAAGTAGAGCTCTCGTAACAAAAAAAATGTATTGGAAATTTATGTAAAGTAGATCATACCAACTAGGAACCTTATTTAAATGCGTATCATGGCTTTAAAGTAGTCACAATTTGGGAACTATACCCAACTCTGAATCAATTTTCAACAAATTTGACGGAGGATTTTGTACCTCCAGTACCAAAAAACATTGCTGTATAGTGCATGCTATGACTTCGATGATAATTATATTAAACAATATTTTTCGGAGCAACAGACCGAATTTCACTAAATGGAAAAATTCGGTTGAATATAAAAATATCTATTCAATTTGGGCTAATATTACATAAATGGTGGACAATAACCGTAAAATCGCATGAAGATTTATATTGAAAGTATATAAACATCTGAACAGATCTCTGTGCAGATTTCGCAGAGGTATTTTCGAGCTGTATCTGATGTCCGGTATCAAATATCATTGGTGTGGAGTGCATATTACGCATATGGGGGATTTTAACCCCAATAGCATGAAACATATGTATGGGAGCTATAGCTATATCTGAACCGATTTTCTCCAAATGTGATGTACTTGCTTCTAAACTGAATTCGGTTGGGTATACCAAAATTCAGGACTTTTGGTCCTTTGCTGATGTTGGCCATCTGGGACAAAATTAACCCGAAATTGGTTGAAGATATACATATATATGGGAGCTACATCTAAATCTGAACCGATCTCGATAAAATATGACAGAAGTATTCCTGGGCTGTATCTGATATCTGGTATCAAATATCATTGTTGTGGAGTCCATATTACTCATATGATTGACTTTAACACCAAATCGGATGAAACATATATATGGAAGCTTTTCACCAAATTTGAAGTATATGTTTCTAGGAAGAATTTAGTCGGAATTGCCAAGATTTAGTTAATTTGGGCTGATATAAGCCGTTTGGTGCGCAATAATCCTGAAGTCGGATGAAGGTATTTGTAGGAGCAAATCTGAACCGATCTTAACAACTTAGGCACTTATTTCTGAGCTGTATGACATATCGTATTACACATGTAAGGGACTTAAAACCCCAAATTTGGTGCACAAAAAACCTGATATCGGATAAAGATATATATGGGAGCTATATCCAAATCTGAACCGATCTCGATTAAATTTGGCAGAGGTATTCCTGGGCTGTATCTGATATCTGGTACCTAATATATATATGGGAGCCATAGCTATATCTGAACCGATTTTCTCCAAATTTGATGTACTTGCTGCTAGACTGTATTGGGTTGGATGTGCCAAAATGTATTATTATTTTAGGCGAGAGTAGGCACCGCGGTCAATAGCAAAACTAGTAACCTTTAGTACTATTCATGTGAATTTAGTACTCATTTGCAAAACCATTCTAGGTCTCAATCCTGGTCACCAACAGTCGCAATATACCTGCACAGGATTCCAGCTCTATCCCTCACCCAATACCAATTTATATACAATTTTCTACTTTTTTAGCAGCAGTTGTTCGAATTTCTTACCTCTATACTTCAACCTCAGATACCAACAGTTATCTAAACATAACATTTCAGCATTTTACCCCTATCCCTTCACCCAATACCAAATATAGTACTATTTAGTACTTTTCGTACAAATATAGGACGCATTTCCAAACCACTGCCAAATTTCAACCTCAGATACCTATATTAATCTAAATATAGAATTTTAGAATTTTATCCCTACCCCTTTACCTAATACCAAATTCCAGATACCAACAGAGACTTCAATATTAAATTTGAGGATTCCAGTCACCGAAATACCACGTTCACCAAATACTAAATTTAGTACCATTTAGTATTTTTCGTACGATTATAGAACATTTTTAAAACTACCTCCATATTTCAATTCCAAATACCAATAAAGACCTCAATATCAAATTTCTAGCTCTATCCAGCTCTATCCCCACACCTAATACAAAATTCTGTACTTTTCGTATAATTATAGTACATAAAGTTGGGATTCAAGCTCCATCCCTTTACCCAACTCCAAATATAGTACCGTTCAGTACTATTCGTGCAATCATAGCACACATTTCCTAACCACCTTCATATCTTAATTCCTGATACCAACAGAGACTTCAATATCAAATTTGAGGATTCCAGCCCAAATACCAAATTTAATACAATTTTGTACTTTTCGAACCTCCCACGTATCTTTACCACAGACACCAACATTAATCTTAATATCGAATTTTAGAATTTTATCGCCATCCCTTCAGCCAATACCAAATGTGGTACTATTTTGAACTTTCCGTACAAATGTCAACGCATTCCCAAAGCCACCTCTAAATCTCAACCTCAGATACCAATATTAATCTAAATATCGAATTTCAGAATTTTATCTCTATCCCTTTACCCTATACCAAATACAGTGCCATTTGGTACTTTTCGTACAATTATAGCATACATTTCTGAAACCACCTCCATACCTTAATTTTAAATACCAACAGGATCCTCAATATCAAATTTGAGGATTCCAGCCACATCCCTTCAGTCAATACCAAATTTAGTATTATTTATTACAATTATAGTATGCATATCTAAAACCAGATCCTTTTCTCAACCACCGCCATCAATAATGCCCTCCATACCGAATTGCAGGATTTTTTCTTTATTCCTTCACTGAATACCAAATTTAGTACTTCTTGTACCTCCTAAATATCAAATTTGAAGATTACAGCCCCTTCCCTTTATCCAATACCAAATTTAGTACCGTTTAGTACCTTTCGTACAAATATAGGACGCATTTTTAAACTACCTATGAATCTTAAACACAGTTACCATCAGTAATTTAAATATCAAATTTCAGAATCATATCTCAATTCCGTCATCCAATACCAAATATAGTACGATTTAGTACTTTTCGTGCAATTGTACTACACATTTCCGAAACCACCTTCATATGTCCAGGCTACACATGTCCAGCAACCCTGGTACCAAATTTAAGATTTCAAGCAGTATCTGTTCACCCAATACGGAATTGTACCAAATATAGTACTATTTAGTACCCTTCGTGCAATTGTAGTACATATTTCCGAAACCATCTCTATATCACAAACATACTGCAAAACCGGGAACCCAATAAAAATTTTCGAAATTCCTGCTTCATGCGGTCACCCTTAATCAAGCTTCCAAATTTAGTACCATTTAGTACAGATCGCACACTTAGTACGTATTTTCAAAACCAAGTTCGCATATTCAAAATTTCAAGTTTATAGCTTTGTTCGTTCAAATAATACCAAATGATTACATTTTAGAAGTTTAGTACCCTTAACGGACTTTTTGTTACTTTAAAGTTAGAATTTCCAAAAAATCATTGGTACATCTATTCTGCACTCTATCAGTGCCGAAACCCTTGGAAAAATAACACCGACATTTAAATCTTAAATAACATAATCTCTTTTTATTTTAAATGCATTTTCCTCGGCCTCTTTCTCTCTCTCTCTCTCTCTCTTCTCCTTTACACAAACATTCATCTATTCAATAATTTTCTTCTGCCGCAATTCCGCAATTTGTCTCTCCGAATATTGCAATACCTCACGCAAAACATCATCCGTATGCTGGCCACATACCGGCGGTGCTGTCCTGGCATCATTTTTCGATTCACTGAATTCGACAGGGGGTCCCACCATTTTCACCACCCCATCTTTGCTATGGGGCAGGGTCTTGACCAAACCGATTGACTTGATATGTTCATCTTCAAAGACCTCACGTATGCTATTCACCGGTCCCACAGGGAATGAGACATTTTCGAATAATTCCATCCATTGTTTTGAGGTTTTCTGAGAGAAGATATTATCCAGAATTTTAATTATTTCCTCACGATTTTCAACACGATCTTTGTTGGTTTTGAATTTGGCGTCCTCGGCCAGGTGTTCGAGTTTTAGGCGTTGACACATTTCCTGAAACTGCTTATCGCTGCCGGTGCCCAAGGTGAGATAACCATCCTTGGTTTTGAAACTTTGATAAGGTACAATGCTGGAGTGGGCGGTGCCCCAACGTTGGGCATCCAGACCGGCATTGAGATAATTGGAGGCCACATTGATGAGCATCGAAACCTGGGTGGAGAAGAGATTGACATCGATTTTTTGGCCACGACCAGTGCGTTGCCGGTGTAGCAGAGCTGCCAAAATTGCACCATGGGCATATAGGCCAGTGGACACATCCGTTACGGCCACACCCACTTTACTCGGTGGCCCCGAACGTTCTCCAGTTATGTGCAGCAATCCACCCATGGAAGCAGCTATGACATCATACCCCGGCCGCTTGGCATAGGGACCCCGGGATCCATAACCTGTTAGGGAACAATAAATCAAGTGGGGCGCCACTTTCTTGAGCTGCTCATAGCCCAGCTGCAATTCATCCAATTTTCCCGGAACATAATTCTCCACCAGGATATCACAGGTCCGAGCCAAATCGTAAATGATATCCTTGCCCTTTTTCAAATCAATGCAAACACTTTTCTTATTACGATTCGAGGCCAGGAAATAGGTGGAATCTTTGCTCTTCTCCAGGAAAGGTGGACCCCATTTGCGTGACTCATCACCTCCGGCATAGGGTCTTTCGATTTTGTACACCTCAGCGCCCATGTCAGCCAAAAGCATGGTACAATATGGGCCGGCCACAATGCGTGTAAGATCCAGAATTTTAATACCCTTCAGAGGGTGGTCGTCTGTTATCTCCCCCGTTGCCGATGTTGCCAAAGTTTTGCCCCCAACTGTAAAAGCTTGGGGTCTGTTAAGTAACTGCCTGCCAAACAGACTCTGGAAAACTTGACAGCGCATTAACATTGTTGTGTTTGTTGGTGGGGGTCACGGGTATATACGGCAAGAAGAAGAAGAAGCGCATAAAAAGCTTATCGTGTTGTGTTTGCCTTTAGCGAGATGTTGTTGTTAGTATTTTTTCCATAAATCACTTGTGTTTTTGTTGCCGGTACATATGTTCTTATTTGTTATGGAATATTTTTGTATGGCTAAACGTGCCTCTATTGTTGTTGTAGCTATTTTTCTTTTGTTGTTGTACTCTTAAGTTAACTTGAGAACAATAAAATTCTAAAGAGTTTCACTTTCGTGGCTTAGTTTCTCTTCCTTCTTTTTCGCACCGATCACAACAGCTCCGAACAAAGTTTCGCGCACAACTAATTTGGATGGCTAAAAATTTGTTCGAAGTTGACTGCTGTGTGAATATTGAGAGAGTGGGAGAAATATAGTTGATATCAGGGATGGGAGTTTGAAACTATACTTTAAGGCCTTTTGGTTCTACGAAAAAATTCTTTTAAAAATCCACGTTTATAGGCCTTCTGGGGTCTTCGGAAAAATTCTTTTAAAAATCCACGGCTTTTGGGGTCTTCCAAAAAATTCTTTTAAAAATCCACGTTTACAGGGCTTTTGGGGTCTTCGGAAAAATTCTTTTAAAAATCCACGGCTTTTGGGGTCTTCGGAAAAATTCTTTTAAAAATCCACGGCTTTTGGGGTCTTCGAAAAAATTCTTTTAAAAATCCACGTTTACAGGGCTTTTGGGGTCTTCGAAATTTTTTTTTTAAAATCCACGTTTACAGGCCTATTGGGGTCTTCCAAAAAATTCGTTTAAAAATCCAAGTTTACAGAGCTTTTGGGGTCTTCCAAAAAAATTCTTTTAAAAAATCCACGTTTACAGAGCTTTTGGGGTCTTCGAAAAAAATTCTTTTAAAAATCCACGTTTACAGGTCATTTGGGGTCTTCGAAAAAATTCTTTTAAAAATCCACGTTTACAGGGCTTTTGGGGTCTTCGAAAAAATTCTTTTAAAAATCCACGTTTACAGGGCTTTTGGGGTCTTCGAAAAAATTCTTTTAAAAATCCACGTTTACAGGGCTTTTGGGGTCTTCGAAAAAATTCTTTTAAAAATCCAGGTTTATGGGCCTTTTGGGGTCTTCGAAAAAATTCTTTTAAAAATCCACGTTTACAGGGCTTTTGGGGTCTTCGAAAAAATTCTTTTAAAAATCCAGGTTTATGGGCCTTTTGGGGTCTTCGAAAAAATTCTTTTAAAAATCCACGTTTATGGGCCTTTTGGGGTCTTCGAAAAAATTCTTTTAAAAATCCACGTTTACAGGGCTTTTGGGGTCTTCGAAAAAATTCTTTTAAAAATCCACGTTTATAGGGTTTTTGGGGTCTTCGAAAAAATTATTTAAAAAAATCCACGTTTACAGGGCTTTTGGGGTCTTCGAAAAAATTCTTTTAAAAATCCACGTTTATAGGGCTTTTGGGGTCTTCGAAAAAATTCTTTTAAAAATCCATGTTTATAGTCGGTATAGGTCTTCGAAAAAAAAATTCTTTTAAAAATCCATGTTTATAGTCGGTATAGGTCTTCGAAAAAAAATTCTTTTAAAAATCCATGTTTATAGTCGGTATAGGTCTTCGAAAAAAAATTCTTTTAAAAATCCACGTTTACAGGGCTTTTGGGGTCTTCGAAAAAATTGTTTTAAAAATCCACGTTTACAGGCCTTTTGGGGTCTTTGAAAAAATTCTTTTAAAAATCCACGTTTACAGGCCTTTTGGGGTCTTTCAAAAAATTCTTTTAAAAATCCACGTTTACAGGCCTTTTGGGGTCTTTGAAAAAATTCTTTTAAAAATCCACGTTTATAGAGCTTTTGAGGTCTTCGAAAAAATTCTTTTAAAAATCCACGTTTATAGTCGGTATAGGTCTTCGAAAAAATTCTTTTAAAAATCCACGTTTATAGTCGGTATAGGTCTTCGAAAAAATTCTTTTAAAAATCCACGTTTATAGTCGGTATAGGTCTTCGAAAAAATTCTTTTAAAAATCCAGGTTTATAGGGCTTTTGGGGTCTTCGAAATATTTTTTTTAAAAATCCACGTTTATAGGGCTTTTGGGGTCTTCGAAAAAATTCTTTTAAAAATCCACGTTTATAGGCCTTTTGGGGTCTTCGAAAAAAAATTCTTTAAAAAATCCACGTTTATAGGGCTTTTGGGGTCTTCGAAAAAATCCTTCTAAAAAATCCACGTTTACAGGGCTTTTGGGGTCTTCGAAAAAATTCTTTTAAAAATCCACGTTTACAGGGCTTTTGGGGTCTTCGAAAAAATTCTTTTAAAAATCCACGTTTACAGGGCTTTTGGGGTCTTCGAAAAAATTCTTTTAAAAATCCACGTTTACAGGGCTTTTGGGGTCTTCGAAAAAATTCTTTTAAAAATCCACGTTTACAGGGCTTTTGGGGTCTTCGAAAAAATTCTTTTAAAAATCCACGTTTACAGGGCTTTTGGGGTCTTCGAAAAAATTCTTTTAAAAATCCACGTTTACAGGGCTTTTGGGGTCTTTGAAAAAATTCTTTTAAAAATCTACGTTTACAGGGCTTTTGGGTACTTCGAAAAAATTATTTTAAAAATCTACGTTTACAGGGCTTTTGGGGTCTTCGAAAAAATTCTTTTAAAAATCCACGTTTATAGGCCTTTTGAGGTCTTCGAAAAATTTCTTTTAAAATTCCACGCTTATAGGCCTTTTGGGGTTTTCGAAAAAATTCTTTTAAAAATCCACTTTTACAGGTCTTTTGGGGTCTTCGACAAAAATTCTTTTAAAAATCCACGTTTATAGTCGGTATAGGTCTTCCAAAAAATTCTTTAAAAAATCCACGTTTATAGTCGGTATAGGTCTTCAAAAAAATTCTTTAAAAAATCCACGTTTATAGTCGGTATAGGTCTTCCAAAAAATTCTTTAAAAAATCCACGTTTATAGTCGGTATAGGTCTTCAAAAAAATTCTTTAAAAAATCCACGTTTATAGTCGGTATAGGTCTTCCAAAAAATTCTTTAAAAAATCCACGTTTATAGTCGGTATAGGTCTTCCAAAAACTTCTTTAAAAAATCCACGTTTATAGTCGGTATAGGTCTTCCAAAAACTTCTTTAAAAAATCCACGTTTATAGTCGGTATAGGTCTTCCAAAAAATTCTTTAAAAAATCCACGTTTATAGTCAGTATAGGTCTTCCAAAAAATTCTTTAAAAAATCCACGTTTATAGTCGGTATAGGTCTTCCAAAAAATTCTTTAAAAAATCCACGTTTATAGTCGGTATAGGTCTTCCAAAAAATTCTTTAAAAAATCCACGTTTATAGTCGGTATAGGTCTTCGAAAAAATTCTTTTAAAAATCCACGTTTATAGCCCTTTTGGGGTCTTCGAAAAAATTCTCTTAAAAATCCACGTTTACAGGGCTTTTGGGGTCTTCGAAAAAATTCTTTTAAAAATCCACGTTTACAGGGCTTTTGGGGTCTTCGAAAAAATTCTCTTAAAAATCCACGTTTACAGGGCTTTTGGGGTCTTTGAAAAAATTCTCTTAAAAATCCACGTTTACAGGGCTTTTGGGGTCTTTGAAAAAATTCTTTTAAAAATCCACGTTTACAGGGCTTTTGGGGTCTTCGAAAAAATTCTCTTAAAAATCCACGTTTACAGGGCTTTTGGGGTCTTTGAAAAAATTCTTTTAAAAATCCACGTTTACAGGGCTTTTGGGGTCTTCGAAAAAATTCTCTTAAAAATCCACGTTTACAGGGCTTTTGGGGTCTTTGAAAAAATTCTTTTAAAAATCCACGTTTACAGGGCTTTTGGGGTCTTCGAAAAAATTCTCTTAAAAATCCACGTTTACAGGGCTTTTGGGGTCTTTGAAAAAATTCTTTTAAAAATCCACGTTTACAGGGCTTTTGGGGTCTTCGAAAAAATTCTTTTAAAAATCCACGTTTACAGGGATTTTGGGGTCTTCGAAAAAATTCTTTTAAAAATCCACGTTTACAGGGCTTTTGGGGTCTTTGAAAAAATTCTTTTAAAAATCCACGTTTACAGGGCTTTTGGGGTCTTCGAAAAAATTCTTTAAAAAATCCACGTTTATAGGCCATTTGGGGTCTTCGAAAAAATTCTTTTAAAAATCCATGTTTACAGGGCTTTTGGGGTCTTCGAAAAAATTCTTTAAAAAATCCACGTTTATAGGTCTTTTGGTTCTTTGAAAAAATTCTTTTAAAAATCCACGTTTATGGGCCTTTTGGGGTCTTCGAAAAAATTCTTTTAAAAATCCACGTTTACAGGGCTCTTGGGGTCTTTGAAAAAAATTCTTTTAAAGATCCACGTTTATAGTCAGTATAGGTCTTCGAAAAAATTCTTTTAAAAATCCACGTTTACAGGGCTTTTGGGGGCTTCGAAAAAATTATTTTAAAAATCCACGTTTACAGGGCTTTTGGGGTCTTCGAAAAAATTCTTTTAAAAATCCATGTTTACAGGGCTTTTGGGGTCTTCGAAAAAATTATTTTAAAAATCCACGTTTACAGGGCTTTTGGGGTCTTCGAAAAAATTCTTTTAAAAATCCATGTTTACAGGGCTTTTGGGGTCTTCGAAAAAATTCTTTAAAAAATCCACGTTTATAGGTCTTTTGGTTCTTTGAAAAAATTCTTTTAAAAATCCACGTTTATAGGTCTTTTGGTTCTTTGAAAAAATTCTTTTAAAAATCCACGTTTATGGGCCTTTTGGGGTCTTCGAAAAAATTCTTTTAAAAATCCACGTTTACAGGGCTCTTGGGGTCTTTGAAAAAAATTCTTTTAAAGATCCACGTTTATAGGGCTTTTGGGGTCTTCGAAAAAAAAATTCTTTAAAAAATCCACGTTTACAGGCCTTTTGGGGTCTTCGGAAAAAAAAATCTTTAAAAAATCCACGTTTATAGGCCTTTTGGGGCTTCGAAAAAAAAAAATCTTTAAAAAATCCACGTTTATAGGCCTTTTGGGGTCTTCGAAAAAAAAAAAAATCTTTAAAAAATCGACGTTTATGGGCCTTTTGGGGTCTTCGAAAAAAAAAATTTTTAAAAAATCCACGTTTACAGGGCTTTTGGGGTCTTCGAAAAAATTCTTTTAAAAATCCACGTTTACAGGGCTTTTGGGGTCTTCGAAAAAAAAAATCTTTAAAAAATCCACGTTTACAGGGCTTTTGGGGTCTTCGAAAAAATTCTTTTAAAAATCCACGTTTACAGGGCTTTTGGGGTCTTCGAAAAAATTCTTTTAAAAATCCACGTTTACAGGGCTTTTGGGGTCTTCGAAAAAATTCTTTTAAAAATCCACGTTTACAGGGCTTTTGGGGTCTTCGAAAAAATTCTTTTAAAAATGCACGTTTACAGGGCTTTTGGGGTCTTCGAAAAAATTCTTTT